ATTATATCGTGTTTCATGTATTCAACATTAGTTTGACTCTAAAAAGATTTCACGCTATGTGATTTTGTTGATAATTAAAAATGCCACATTTTACTTGGAAGAAGCCCTTTAATTAAATATGGTGAAGTAATCACTTGTTTTTGACCCTATGAACTCTTATTACAATCAATGTTGTTGAATGTTCTTTTATATAAGGTATATATTTACAATATTCAGTATACTTAATTTATTTACACCCTTGCTATACTATACCGATGTGTTTTCAATATAACTTTCCACTAAACCCTTTCATGTAAGTAATTTAAATCCATTGTGTAATTATGTTTTAAAATATCACAAGTTGTAAGCAACTAACGAGAACCAAACGAAGTAAAATGAATTCATGCTATTCTTCTAGAATCTTCGTTCTTTCTCTCTACAAATACTAAGTATTTAGTTTGGTTGGTACTGATAATTACGATTTAAAAATATAGTCGAGAATAAACAGCTTTTTCTCGATAACATTTATATATGGTTGGATTAATTGCTCTTGTCAATACATTTTATTTGTCGTGTATTGTACATGTTTATCTGGAGGATAAAAATCGTATGCTGACAGTCATTGTAAGTGGCATGACCAATAAATAAACAGCAAAGTATCAAATACATAAAGAAATGTATGAAAAATTAGAAAACCTTATAAAAACCTGTTTGTGCTTGTTTATTAAAATAATGTATTGAAGTAAATAGTTATTTTCAGATTAATCGTTTCGCTGTCGAATATCAGTGATGTAGGGATGATATAAAGCTAGAAAACGTATTGGTTTTCTGTGTTTATGAATGCTCTTAATGTGTGCTGTTACTTGGACTCTTTAACCGCTGATTCACTGTTTGAATCATTGATGAAGAAATAAATGTTTAGTGGGGGCCTTAATTTTGACGTCGATTAGATTGGACGATGTTATTGATGGACTCACCACTTCAGTGGACCGATGTCTGAGTTTAGTTGGATCGTATGAATGATTGCTGTCGAAATATATATATCGTCAATACTCGTATATAATCATCGACTTAGATCGCGTAAGTGAATAGCGGAATTAAATAAATCAGATACGAGAATGGATTTTCGAATACATATATTTTGTACACTCATTGATCTGGGCAGGCAAACGGAGGGACGAAACAAAGGAGGCGAAGTGACGCGCAATCGACAAGACAGTGAGCCTACTCGATTCAGTCAAGCGTTAATCGATATTTATAGTCACACAGATATAGGTTACAAAAATGTCATGAGTAGGATAAGAAGTGTACACACATACCCTCATATAAATACAGTCAGGCTTGATAAGTGAATAATTAACAAGGTCAAAACGTGACTCAAAAAGAATGGATAAATTAGCCTATTCGGAAGCTAAAAAATTGTGTGGGCTTAACTCTGTTAACCGATACTACAAACGTTTTAAAAACCGTCTATGATCAGTTTCCTAACATTAGAAAAATATGAAAACAACAAAATGTGAAAAGACGAGAATACTTAACATACTGACTTCTTCAAAAGTCCCAAGCTATAGAAATTTATCAGTAACAATTTCATTGCCAAAAATAGAAAATATTCTAACACAAGTAAATTCAATGTAGTTTCAATATTATAAAGTGAATTTTTTATGAGTTCAGTTTGGTCGTTTCTTGGAAATTGACCTCGTGATAACTGGTTTATCTTCAATAAATTTTGATGCAAGTTAGATATAATTTTGAAAATTTCTCTTTATATATGAAGAGAATTTATATTCTTCATATTATTAAAATTTTTAACGTGTAATCATATTTAAAATAAATGAGTACTGAAATTGTGATACATATTAATGTACGTTACTAAAACAGTCAAGAAAGATATTTCATAGACCGATCAATGTTAGACCACTATTGAAAACCTAGAAGCACTGGACGATCATTTGGTCCTAGTATGGTGTGACTCCTCTTCAGTGCATATCCACGACTCCGCGCGTGAGACCGAAGGTGCTCTAGACCACTGAGCTAACATTCAAGGCTGTTAATGACTAAATTCGAGAGATAATTCTTGGAGTGATCAGTGGAGTTCAGCCGTGTCGAGTGTGAGACAGTTATCCACTGAGGACAATGGAAGATGGTCGCCCAATATCGTGGATTGTTTAAAATTAGACACTAACACTGTTGTATCCCGAATCATTGGTTTAGAGATCAAACGATTGTGCGTGAGACCGAAGGTTCTAGGTTTGAATCCTACGTGGGTGATCGTGGATGCGCACTGATGAGTAGTCTTATACGAAACGGCCGTTCAGTGCTTCTGAATTTTCAATGGTGCTGTAAGCTTGATTGATTCATGATCTCAATCAAAAGGTTAAGTGTGTAAGTATACTATTAATTTGAATTTCAGTAACGAAATATTTAAATTTTGTATCCTATAAAGCCAAAAATCAATAAATAATACAAGTGTTGCTTTATATACTTTCCAAAGTAAGTGATTTTGAACTCTATCACGGATATAATTTGTTGATCACAAACTTTTTTCGAAGCAGATTTAATTTATTTTTATGAAGTTGAATGTTTTTTAACCACTGGTAAAATGTAATTATAAGATGATGAAGAATATGTGTAGCCGGAAATGAAGATTTTGAAGATGTTTTGTCCACGATAGAACAATCCTACTCATTAATTAAACACAATCTTTCTAGGTATCCATGCTAAGGTGAAACTTGATATTTTCAAATAAAATGAGTATTCAGTAGAAAGTTAACAATGAATATAGAAGTTGTGATATAACAATGAGTAAAAAAGTGTATGTTTTGATATTTAGTGACTGAATCTAAACCACTTCTTCAGAGTAAATAAATAACCAAAATAAAATTAACACAAGTTTAAATAGTACATAGGAAGTAGTCATGAATAGTATAATTATTACTAAAATGATTTATTAGATGAACTTGATTTCTAGATATACGTTTATTTACTTGGCTTTAGAATACTTCATAAGCATAAAAGAGACTAAATTTTAACCTGCAACTTAATTTTAAAACTTCAAATGCTTTAATTGTTTAGTTATCAATCCATCAATTTAGTATGAATGGTCTATAATAGTTACAAACTTTAGTTTTAAAAGTTATAATTCAATGTTTCATCTGCTTATCAAATATGTACCTCCAAACATGTATATAGATATACATAATTTCACTAAAATTAGTTTATACGAGTATCCGTCAAGATTGGAACGAATAGTTTGACAGAAATTGGGCACCGAGTATAGAGAAGTCATTATATATAAAAAATTATATTTGAAATAATCTCAGCGATCAAAATTTAAGTAATCCCAACGTTTCATCCCGCTAACTTGTCTGGATTTTTTCAGGGTAATAATCAGAATCAAAATCATCAAAGAAATGAAATAATTTCCATTTTACCAGTATAGGGGTGGTAGAGATTATTAAGTTTTTGATTGAGATTATGAACTGTTAGACCACCTTTGGAAACCTGAAAGCATTGGATGATCGTTTCATCCTACTGTGGGACTCCTCGGCGATGCGCATCCACGACCCCGCTCGCGGGAATCAAACCCAGGGCTGTCAGTCTCGCTCGCGGACGTTTAACCTCTTATACCACTGAGCCGGCATCCAATGGAGTTAGTGTCTAACAACAACCAATCCACGAAATTGCGCGATCATCTTCCATTGTACTGAGATAGATACCAGTCACTACCCGACATGGATTAGCTCCACTGGTCACAGCTTCTGTGTTTTTGATTATTACCCTGAAGAATTCCAGACAAGTTAGCTGGATGAAACGTTGGAATTATTTAAAAATTTCAATCGCTAAGGTTATTTCAAATAATAATTTTCATATATAATCACTTAAATTAAGTTGATATCTGATCTTCATTTATTAACATTTACCACTATTAATCGTTTAATAGTCTATATTAAATAAATAAATAATATAAATTTTAAATAAGTCTTAGATAATAACTATACATTTTCGACTATTCTTTCATGATCATTCAGACCTATTACTTAATTACTTACTTACTTACGCCTGTAACTCCTCGTGAATGAGCACAGGCCGCTCACCAGCATTCGCCATCCAATCCTGTCCTGGGCAAACCTTTCCAGCTCCTTTCAGTTGTCATTCATCCTTTTCATATCTGCTTTGATTTCCCGATGTAACGTGTTCTTTGGCCTTCCTTCAGGATTACAGGTTAGGGCTTGTCTCGTGATGCAATTTGACGATTTGTGTAGTGCATGTCCTATCCACCAACTCCATCGTCTTTTCCAAATTTCCTCTTCAACTGGAAGTTGGTTTGTTCTCTCCCACAGAAAGCTGTTGCTGATGGTATCCGGTCAATGGATGTTGACTATCTTGCGTAGACAGCTATTTATAAATACTTGTACCTTCTTGATGGTGGTTATTGTAATTCTCCAAGTTTCAGCTCCGTACAGTTGAACTGCCTTGACGTTGGTATTGAAGATTCTCACTTTGATATTGGTTGATAAACGGTTGTTTTGAGCTCCATATGTTCTTCAACTGCTCTGTTAATACTCGCCTTTACGTCTGCATCTGAACCTCCTTGTTCATCGATGATGCATCATCCCAGGTACGTGAAGGATTCTACATCTTCCGTAATTTCGCCATCAAGAGTGATTGGATTGCTGTTCTCCGTTTTGAATTTGAGGACCTTGGTTTTCTCCTTGTGCATGTTGAGGCCTACTAGTGCAGAGACTGCTGCTACACTGGTTGTCTTTATCTGCATTTGTTCATATGTATGCTCCTGTAGCTCTTCTAGAGTTACGGCCGGTCCCAAGCCTGGGTAAAGCAGGAGGGTTGTGCATGGGGTTAGCGTCCCCATCCAGTAGAAAACTAACTCGCTAAAAAAAACGCTTACCACAAAAAATAATTCAAACCTATAACTGTGTAATTTATTTAGATTTCATTCTATTGTTTTCTGATTGGTTAAAAGGAAATACAAATATTCTTCCTCTTTAATATGTCTCTTTAAAATGAATATTAGTCATGAAGTTGAATATTTACTATACTTAATTCCTTTGGAATATTCTGTATTTAATTAAAACATTTCATTTAAACAAATAGAATTGAATGATTTGTATTTTACAATTGACTGTGGAACATCATTTTGAAAAAAAAATCTCATGTTGTGGATCAATTTCTGATTTTTGATCTTATTCAAAATTTGCAAAATCATTAAAATATGGTGATAGAACATGAAGGAATAATGAAAAAAAATCCATATAAAATGAATGTCCCAGTGAATTATGATGGTGCAGTTGTGGGTTTAGCTAGACGATCTACTTTATTTCCATTTACAACACCATTACCAGGAATATCAACAGCAGCTGTACAATTAGAACATTTAATAGGAAGAAATAAAAAATGGACATCAGCTGGTTGGAAATTAAGTTGTGAGTCAGGATTAGTATTTCGTACTCATTTACAAGATAAAGAATATGTCTATTTAAATGCAGCAGAGTTTGGTGAACTTGAAGTTGTTCGAGATTTATTGGATGATATAAAACTTGATGTAAACTGTGTAGATTATATGGGACGTAATGCTTTATTACTGGCAATGAAAAATGAAAATCTTGATTTAGTGGAACTATTAGTGAATAGGTTAGATTTTTATGCTGTTGAAGATGCTTTATTAAATGCGATAAGTCAACAAAAAAATCATTTAGTTAAACTAATTGTTGATCATCCACAATATATTAGAATGGAAAAACAATGCAAAAGTAAAGTGTCCGGACCATCAAGTGGAACAAATAATCGTGGTAAACGATCTCAGTTCTCCTCAGATATTTCACCTTTAATGCTTGCAGCACATATTAACAATCATGAAATTATTCAATTATTACTAGATAGAGGGTTAAAACTAGAAATGCCACATGATCGTGCATGTTCCTGTCTGGAGTGTGAAACTATTCGTGCTGAAGTAGGTGTTTGTTAAAATGTTAATATATCTTTTGTTTATTATCTAAAACTGTTATATTTCTGATATATACAGATATATTGTTGAATGCAAATTACATTATAGAACAATTTTATTTAGATAACTATTAATCATCAAGTAACAATAGACAAGTATCACTCATAGAATTCAACGATGGTTGAATAGTCTTTTATTAAGTTAATTTGGAAAGTAAATCAGTAAATCTCAATTACTCAAAAACTTTCTTGCCTAGAGGTTTACAGGTTTGATTTCTGCAAGATTATGAAATGGAACCCTTGAGAATTTATATACTGGTATTAAACGGATGTCTCACTGTCTCATATTTCCAATGGCTTCTCCTATATGTATATTAAATTCTACATACATGTAACTAAATTCAGCTTTTTTAAAGTAAATGTATATAACCGCTAAGTAGCGAAGAAATATTAATCGTACAACATATTTCAACTGTTGGTACTTTATCGTATCTGTAGTGTTAAACATAGAATGTTACTCATGAGAAAGTAATTTTAATGTTTATATTGGATAACTAAATATTTACTTTTGTAAGAAACTATGATTTATCTTTGGCAACTAATAGATCTATACAATAAACAGATATTTGTTTTTATAATATTAACTGTCAGAGAGAAAACTTAGGCTTTCCACAATACATTTCTAGTGTATTTCAACATTGTAATTCTGAATGAAAATTTTTGTTTTTGTTTTAACGATGTTGTGAAAGTCATATTTCAAAATGATTCACTTGTCAAATATAAATAAGGTATATATCTAACCGATGAAATTAAATGTTATTTATACAAATTATATGTCGATGAATAAAAAACTTACTTACTTGCTTACTTTTGTTACCCCTCATGAAAGAGCATAGGTTGCTTACCAGAATTCTCCATCCAACTTTGTCCTGGGCAATCCCTTACAGTAGTTTCCAGTTGTTATTCATATTTTTTATGTCTGCTTTTCATTCCCGAAGTAGTGTCGTCTTAGTCGTTTAACTTCTTCGTTTCTATTCACGGTTCCAAGTTAGCCCTTGCATCGTTATTCAGTTTGGTGATTTCCGCAGTGTATTTCCTATATACTTCCAACATCTTTTCCTAGTTTCCTCGCCAGCTGGAATGTGATTTGTTCACTACCACAGTAGGTTGTTGCTGATGGTATCCGGCCAAAGAACACTGAGTATCTTTCATAGACAATTGTTTACAAATACTTGTAATATTTTGACGATGGTTGTGGTAGTTTTCGTAGTTTCAGCTGCATACAGTACAACTATCTCGACATTCATATTCAAGATTCTGATCAAAAGAGGGTACCCATAATTGCTTCAGTGGATCATATATTAGACTTAGAGGTAGTTGTTGTTTTTTGCACAAGTGAAATGCATCTTGTTAAGTTTTTACAACAGAGTTGGGATCATCTAACATACAAAGCCCAAAATAACCCTTGAGGAAATCAATTAAATACAGTTAACAGCCTTTCGGTTGTTTCTAATACTATATTTAGTGGCTTGTATTTGACAATTTGTAAATAATGATGAAGTAATGTGTAATAAATCATAATAACTTTTCAAGTTATTTAACACTGAAAGTGCATTAAAGCTTGAGTTGGAAACTGGTTAAAAGATGAACTTTTAATAGATGAATAGTCTTAGCTTAATGCATAATTATGGGGAAAAAAAGCTAAATAAGCCATCTCTGTTGACTTTTACCCGTATTTTATGACTTCACTGAACATAACGATGATATTATAATGCTTATATACTTGTGTACAAACTTAACTTACAATTACCCTAATCAATGTAACAAAATATATACATATGTAAGGACATCGGATTTAGCAAGTTTGTGTTACTGTCCAAGATTTACAATTATGAGGTATTGATTCTGATGAAAAGACAGAAATAATTCTCTCAGTTATGTTTTAAACTGAATAATTTAATTGCACAATACCTAACTCCTATATATTTGTTATAATTAAATGATCGCAAAAAATTTCAGTCCCAGTTCATTAGAGACATTTTCAATCAAAATAATATAAGTCTTTATTATATTTTGACTACTTATAGTAAAGTAAAAATATCTTAGTTAACTTCCATGTACTCAACAGAGTTACATAAACTAATGATCAATTTTATTGTATGGTCATTTTATAACTATCGAAATTGATTGGAAAACATGGAGAAAACTGAAGTTGGCAAACATCTAACACTAGCTTCAATAAATCAAATTCAGTTTAACAGCTTCATATTTGTATGCAGCATACAACTCCATAGGCAACGGATATCAGATATGAAGTAAGAAATATCATTATTTTCTCAAGATTTGAAAGTATTATACAAAAATCTTATGAACTGAATGCTAAATGTAAAAGTTTATCGAAGATGAAAATTGTATGTAAGTGTCCAGAATGTTCTTGTCGTCAAAATAACCCATTACATCTACTTATTTAAAGGAAACGACATATCCAAGGTGTTTTTACTAGTCTTCAGAAGTATAAAACTCATTGTTTTTCTCATTCATATTTTAAACATAAATGTATAGAATGTCAATAAGCAGAATGTTAATCTCGATTTGATAAGAAGACCGATTTTATTTGTTCATTTACAAAAAGTCAAGCCAGTTTCCTTCATTTTATCGATATGAATAAAACAGGAAAAACCTAATAAATAAATATAATCCAGGAGGTTTGTCAAAATGTTGGTGTTATGAAGGACAGTCACAAATCAAATTGATGAATTAGATTCTAAACGTTATTCAGTTTAATTTATTCAAATTTGACTATTGGTTAATGTACACATTTGTATAGGAAATCAGTGTACTCAAATAAAGCTTTGATCTATTTTTAATCCATAATAAATCTTTGTTTGGTTCTATCTTTTCCTTCTCCATTACATCAAACCATATAAACTTTTGTTCAGTTGTAACAAGATGGAATACAGTCATTTAAATAGTGCTGTCATTTCAGATAAGTACTAAATGATAAAATTATGTTACTTGTTGTCATTTTCATCATCTACATGAACAGTAATTAGGTTTGACTGAAAAGCGTAGTGCATCAAAATAAATAATTTCATAACTGAATCTCAAAAGGACAAACACTGAATTGGCTCATGAAGAGAGGAGAGTATGATTCAACTGGGCGTAAATTGATAATAGAAAAAGAGCATGGGAAAGGTTATTTCACAATTCATTACAAAATCACTCATATATTCAATGACTAAATATAATAAAGCAAGAACTAGTTACAAGTTGAACTGTTCATGCATCCATCAAACCGGTAGATTTTCTAGCCACAATTTGATGTTTAGCTTCTGTTGACGTAGCTGAGAATTCTATATTGTATTAAACAAATAATATTGAATAAATCCATGGATAAAAATGATAAACAATTATTTCACAGATTGAAATCATGAGTCACTTGAAGCTCGACCACCACTGGAAACCTGGGAGCACTGAACGGCCGTTTCGCCCTAGTATGGGACTCCTCAGCAGTGCGCGCCCACGATCCCGCACCACGCGGGGCTCGAACCCAGAACCTACTGGCTTCGCGCGCGAGCACTTAACTATTAGACCACTGAGCCGGCATCCAACGGTGTTAATGTCTAACTTCAACCAATCCACGAAGTTGCGCCACCATATACCATTGTCTTCAGTGAGCTGATATCTCACAACAGACCTGGTTGTACTCCACTGTTGATTAATTTTTAGGCATCTAACCAAGCCTTACCTAGAATAGATATGTGCTTCGTTGTGTGGCAGGTAATAACTGCACATTTCATATGAAAGCATGGTATACATTTTGATACACGATAGTCGGTACAGTTTTGATTAGTCTTGTGGTTAATTGTCTTCTCTTTTCTGAATGTTAAAAAAGTCACTACCTAGATTTCAATGTCCTTGATACGTTTTACACATTCGAATTCCGTTCCACTAAGTTACTGAAAGTAAACTCTAGAATATACTGTCTTGACCTTGAATGAGTTTTTTATTATTTAAAACTCTACTTAAATAGCTCACCATAAAAAAACACAGATACTGACTCATTTTATACACAATTACAGTGCCACTACAGCTTATCAATATTAATTTGATTTTATTCACTTACATTTCCTATCATCCAAACCTATACTCAATCCTTAATATAGTAATTTTAAAACAAAACACAAGTTATTTCCAACTTCTGACATTAGAATCCCTAGCCTTATGCCAGTTCCTCTTTAGCTGTTCTCCCTTTTGAGATGCCTGTATTTTGATGAACTGATAGAAATCTATTCAGTAATACAATGTATTCTTTTGAATGTATCAAAGTCACATGATTTGTAAACTATTATTTTATCTACAACTTTCCCGTTGACTTTACTAAAAAATTAAATATTAACTCTTGCGCACTAATTATTAGCTATGATATTCATCGCTTTTTAGTCATTAACATCAAACTTAGGGATAGATTCTTAAGCATTGGCCAAATATATCTGGGATCTGAACCACAATATGTTTTCTAAACAATTGGACAAATAAAATGTACATTTTTTGGTCAATATTTTAAGACTTCTTATTTTTAAATGGCAAAAACGAATTGTAAAAGCATTCTTCAATTCATGTACTTCTGTGAAGTTTCCCATGACGTCTATCTGATAATAATGTCTTCAGAACAAAAGTTTCCCAAAAGCATTACACTTGTTCATTCAGAATCATTTTGAAATGAATGTTAATATAAGACAAAATAAAATCTTATCATAAATCATTGTTTATTACTAAAATGAAATACAAATGAGAACTGTTCCATTCTTTGTTGTACAAATAATTCGTTGATGTAATCTGTCACATAATGTAAATACAAACTGTTTTAGTTGAGGTTTTTTTTTATTATTTAATTCATATGTCAAATGAGATAAAAACTTTTCCGTTTTCACGCAGGATTATCTCGATTATTTATATTATATAATATGTGGTCGACTGTTTCTCATTGATGTATCTCGTGTAACT